TAAGGGTATATTTTTTACTCAATTCTTATCATTCTTCTATCTGCTATTTTAATTAAATGTTTTGCTTCTTCCAATAATAAACAATAACCTGTTACATCTCCTTGTGTTTTTTCAATATGAATACTTATGTTGACTCCTGTTTTGAAAAGATCTTCTTGGTGAGCTGAAAGATCAAAACAGAAGATTGGATGATTAAGTGCAAAATCTACATATTCAAACTGAGGTAGATTTCCGAATAATTCACACATATTTTTATAGTTTCTATACAATTCATTATAATCCTTTGTGGTTGGATTAATTGTTAAAGGTTGGTTAGGATAATTATCGTTGTTCAATCTTACTTGAACTTTTGGATTAAAGGATCTTGAGTTTGGTTCATTGCCACTCTAAAAACATTATTGTTATTCGTTTGAGAATCTGGTAAGTTCTTGAAACCAACTATTAAATATCTTGCTGGTTTAATAGTGTTAGTGATTGGCCATGTGGTGGATTCTCCAGTTAAAGTCATGCTACCTACAGTGTTACGATGAAGAAAAGCTATTTCAATATCTTTAGTTAACGAGTTGAATATTTTCGTTTCTACTTGAATTGATGGTGTTATTACGGGTATGAAAAGTTGGAGATTCGTTATTTCTAATTTTGCATCTGAACCATTCTCTCCAAAGAATATCTTATCGTCGTTTATTTCTCTTTGTATATGAATTTTATATGGTAAACCTATGAAAACTTTTCTATGTTCCAACAGACCGAATATAAAGGATATAATTTCCAATTTACGTAATTACCCCACCTATTATTCTCAATAACATTATTATACTGAAGTACTCGTTTTTCGAATCCATGATTAACTGCTCGTCCTACTCTTTCTATCGTGTTTCGAGCAACAACTCTCACTCTAGCTAAATCGGCATCATTTGCAAGATTTCTTACCGGTTCTTTTAAAATACTTCCATCACCAACATCGGGTATCCAACCTGAGACTGAATCGAAATCTTTAGGATATAAAACTGTTTTCAACATTGTGTCGAATTCCCCAGGATGTTTGATTGTTTCTATCGGATTTGAACCAGCTTCCAAAACCATCTCGCTAAATAAAGATGGAAAGAAATTGTTTTCTAACGTTGTATTAGTTTGTGGAACTTGATTCTGAGTGGCTTCTTTAATTTTGAAATCACATCTGAAATAAGCATCGGAAAGAAGCAACCAATTCGATAATGAATTTATTTCGAAGAGAATTCTACCACCATCATTCAATTGGGATTTAGAACCAACAGTGGGTGAGATGATAATATAATCCTCTTTTTTCTTGTTAAATGAATAACGAATCGGATCGTATAATCTAAAGATTGGATCTAGTATTTTATTTGCCATTTTTAAGGTTTAAAATTTGAGTAGAAAATTTTAATATGGAATGTAGGAAATTGATTGAAGGTGT